TATCAGTAGATTCGAAAAGGGATTAAACTTCTATTTTAATTTATACTATGAAAAAAGTTTTGAATTCTTTTTAGGAATTTGTTGTGATTGTAGAAAGGTCAATATCAAAGAGACCCAATTTTAATTTTGTAAAAGCCCACTACTATGTTGTAAAGAGGCCCAAACAATTTTTATTTTGAAAAGACATGCTTTATTGTATTATACCCATCATTTTCACAAGTCAAAGTAAATTGAGTGTTTCTGGTTCATTCAACCCAACATTTATCTTTTTTACCTCAATATTTCTCTTATTATTCCTTGGAAAAGAAATTAAAGTGAAGTTTTAGTGGTGATGAGAGAGTGCGTGTTCCTTTAGAGATTGTGAAAAAATGACATGATTTGATTGGTCATTCTTACCACGCATTATGGTGAGGTGGCAGGAGATCTCCATTTCGTGGGAGTATATATAAAATAGAACATTATTATATAGAGGCTTCCAAGAAGGATGTGCGTATTATAATTAAATTAAGGCTTAATCGTAGTAATGGTTCTTGAATTATACCATAGTTACATTTTCATACCTCAATTCTAAAAATAATTGTAGAGGTCCAAGGGAGGAGAAGCAATCATTTGTTTTTTTTTTTTTTTTTTTTCTTTTTTTTTTTTTTTTAGTTTTATTTAATTATTTTTTTTATTTCGTTTTTATAAATATTTGGAATGAATTTCCAAGTTTACTTATAGATTTAACGGAAAATAAGATAGACTTGATGAAAATGACCAGTAGTGCAACATGATACATAATTGAGAGACCTCTGCAGCTAATTTTGGAGTTGAGGGATGAAAATGTAACTATGAATATAGTTTAGGGACCATTGCTACAATAAAGCCTTACATTAATGATATTTTATTTATGGGATATGATCTAATGATAATTTAGGTTTTTTTTTTTCAAATATTATTCATGCAAAAAATCAGATAAATCATAATTGCTTTAGCCATTTATTGTTCACATTTTTTATTTCAAATTTTATCTAACGAATTGGGTTTTTTTTTACTAACCTTACAACTTCTGTTTTTTTTTTCAAAAATAACCTTAAAGAATGACCTAAAATATAAATGATTAAAATCGTTGAAATATATTGTGGAGGTAGCCTAGGAAGGATGTGTGCAATAAGAATATCCTTAACATAGAAAAATTACTTACATAGAACTAATAGATCTTTTTTATGACCCTTATTTTCCACAAAAAACTTCAGATAACAAAGTGAAAACCGGACCGAAAGCATAATTTTTCACGAAGTATCAAAACCATTCTATCCTTTCTATTCATAGGAGGATTAATTATGCTATGCTAATCTTCCATTGAATTTATAATTCATATAAAAGAAAAATAAAGAGGGAAAAGATTTATGAAATAATACACTTTTCCAAGAGAATACATACAGACAATATAGCAATTTATATAATAATCGATGAAAATCAAACAGGTTCTAAATGTTTTTTTAATACAAGCGATAGTCTAAACTATAAGCTGAGGGAGATTTCTCATATATACCACGGTGCCATGATGATTTGAATTTAAGATCATTAATCTGCAAGTTAATGCTCTTTTCATTGAATTAGACCCCATTGACAATAGTTCTTAACCTTTTGAATAAGTTCAAACTGAATACATACAAGATTAAGCTAAACATCCATTAGCCCTAAATGCGTGGTGATTAAGTCAGATCACAATGGCCCTGCTTATTAAAAAAATATATGAGTATGATCACTAGAATAATAAAATAAAATAAAAAGTAAAAAGGATGGTGGGCTCTCATCAGGATTTGCAGATTGATGAGACGCATGGTATATGGGGACAAAGCATATATTAGGATTGCAATCTTTCACAAAGAAATGGATCTTCCTGGCTTTAGAATCAATGCACAAATCTGGTAATTAAGAAGCCCCTTGTTTTGGACAGTCCTAATTCGAATACATTTTGGGAAAGAAAGAAAAGCCAAGCCAACAATTTCACATTTTTTGCTACTTTTTGCACAATTTAGCTACTGCTAAAAAGCAGAAAAGTTACATGTATACAATGGAACGTTGATAGTAGCATTTTTTTTTGTTAGACATTTGTGCAAAGATCCCTAGCGCTCGGTGAATATTTGAGTGCGTGAACTTATCAAATCTTTGTTCAGATCAAGGCATCAAACGAAATATACACAAAACAAACGTATAGAGAAGTATAAGAATATTTTTTTATCAAGTCATCAAACAAAGCATAATCTACAAAACAAACCTATAGAGAAGTATAAGAACCTTTTTATATCGTAAAATCAAACCCTTGTAGGATTGCGGACCAAAATAATATTTACTTAAATGTTGTATACATGTATGCAAAAATAGTTACCGGCCATATTTCAACAATCCCAACCTTTGAATGGTGATGAATACAAGGTATGAAAAGGATGAGTGGGATTGTTTTTGGAGTAAATACGATTTGGTATGACTTTAAACGAAAGTGACAATAAGAATGAAAGGGAGACATTGAAAAACATCTTGAGGACTATAGAATTCAAAAAACTAACTTATTAGGTATACTACAGTGAAATTTGAGCAGTATTTTGGGGACTATTACTACAATTTATTTTTGAATTCTTTTTAAAAATTTGGAACTCACAATTTCACGAAAAGAAAAAACTTGAATGTCACGGATTCATACCCCTTCTTTCTCTAGTTAAGTTTTCCTCCAATTTCACACAATACGTCGTTTCCATAAAACCCCTAAGCATGAGCTATTCTTTATTTTCAGTACTACGCAAAAATATAAACAATTACGATGGATATATTTGTAATTTTCTTAATCCAAAAAAAAAAGTTGGTTGTAACTTGTAGTTATGAAATAGTTATGCCCAAAACCCCCAAACTATAGGGTATGTGTGGCACTAATCACCAAGTAATATTAGTTAAACCCAAGTGTTGTCAAAGGGAAAAAAAACTTCAAATTAATATGAGGGACCCCATCTGGTTATTTGAATGGCATTTGGGATGGATCCAATCCAACACCCAATAGGATAAAAACATGATGATGATGATGTATCCCTTCACTTACATGTTAGACAAAGTCCAGTGAATAGACTCCATCAAATTCAATTGATTAGACTTCTCCTGGATACTTAGTGCAGGGGATGTAATTATTATTTTATCTTACTTTTGAAAGATGAAATACATTTTGAATAATTAAATTGCTTCTGGAGTTGGCCTTTTGTGTTGAATGTGGATAATCTTCACATAAATTAAATTGACTTTATCAATTATCATGATGGTGCACAGTAGCACCAAGGCCAACGATACCAAATAAAGTTTGGTAAATAGTCTTGGTCTTCCTTCTTTGAAAGAGTATTTTGCAAACGGAGAGCTCAGTGAAAAAACGTCTTAACTTACAGATCAATTGTCTCAATTTGAACTTACATGAAATCTTTTGTAATATGTAAATGAGAAACCACCCCCCGCACGCGCGCGCTTATAATTTTAGACTATCACTTATATTCAAAAAAGAAATATAGTACTTTGCCAGCAAGGGAAAAATAATAATCTTCGACATTATTAACTAGAGGTCTCTATTAACTGTGAGCTTAAGAGAAGGTGGTCGACAAAATATGTATAACAGAGCCTTGGAGCTTTCATAGTGGTGGACAAAATATGTATACGAATAATTTTTGGTTTGTTACGCCATCTCTAGTAATGGAGAGCTAAACATAATCCACCCACAAAATATAACTCACTACTTATAGTTTTTTAAGAAATAGTAATGGGCAATATTTTTATCGTCTCCAACAGTAGTAGAGGGCTAAATCGTAGCTCTCTCAATATTTTATTAATTTGTAGTATATTCTTTAAATATATTGGTTAATTTAATTAACAAATAAACATCAATCCAAAAACAATAACTAAAACATTAATCTAAAAACAACTAAAACATTAATTTTAAAACAACAACAACAATACATTAATTTAAAAACAAAAAAGGATGAAAGGAAGGATGAAAAGAATGTAGAAAATTAGATTAATTTCGGGATTTTTTGGAAGAAGAAAAAAGTTAGAGCTTGCTGGAGATAGCTTTTGAGTGTGAAAGGGCTAAATTTGAGGATTTAGTCCACTGCCGGAGATGACCCTAGTGAGTCATTCTATGGTAAGGGCCTTATTTATGACCCTTAGATAAGGTCTTATCTCTTAATCGTTGAATCAGACTAACTAATTTGATCAAACAGTTAAGAGATAGGGCCTCATCTAAAGCCCTCTCACTATAGAATTCTTGTAGGTTTGGCATGAGCATATGTGTAGTGGGTCTTGGAAGAAAACACCAAGGATCTGTTTTGTCTGTAAAGCGGTAAACTCCAGCAGAGCCCGTTTCCCTTTTGTTTCGACGCAGCTCACCAATCCCTGGCTTTGGTGACTTTTGTGCTTTCAAAATAAAGGTTGAGTAGAAAACATGTGAGCCCAAATAGAAAGAAGAAAATGGACAATGTACTGGAACCACAGCTTACATTCACCCAAACTAAAGGCAAATTCCTTCTTTTTTTCTTTTTTTTTGGACAGAATGATACTTCATTAAAAGACCCGAAGCACAGGTCAAGCAGAAAATACAGAAGCAACAATAAACAGGAAGATTACAAAACACCAAAGCAAAGCTCAGCTTAGTGGAATAAGAAGTAACTCTTCCAAACAAACAAATTACAAAACAGGCAAATTCCTTCATTCATTTATAGTTATGTCAACAATGCACATCGTTAGGGCCAACACAAAGACAAGGCAAGGTAAAGTAAGATAAGTGCTCGTAAAATGTGGCGGGGCGAAGTAAACAATCAAATACTTCATAGCCAAGTCAATGCAGTAGAACTTGTAGCACACTAAGCACTTCTTTTTATATTCATATCAAAGCATGGTTAATGAAACAGCCAAAACTGATAATGCTCTTACAGGAATAATCCTAAAGCTACATTATTACTTATTACAAAATCATCTCACCTAAGCTTTCATGGGGGCGGTGGCAGATGTTGGGTCTTGGGTCTTGAGTCTTGGTTCTTCTGGTTTGTTTCCAAATTTTGTGCTGCTGCTGTTTTCTCCGCTTCAGCTTTCTCAAGCAAAGCCTGTTGATGCATGGCTTTCATCATCTCCTTCATTGTCCTCTCCTCTCCTTCAAGTTGTGTTTTCATTATCATCTCAGCCTCTTTGTCAATCGGCTTGAAGTACTCTTCAATAGCAGCTTCCTTCACGTAAAGAAACTTTGATACATTAGTAAATACAAAGACATAAAAATAAATTAAATTGACCAACACAACAATTCATATTGCAGCCATTAGTCTGATTAACTTAACAGTAAGGGCAATATGGGGAACTTTTATTTTTTTTGGTACCGTGTGATATTTCTGTGAATATTCATTCATTTGTTTGACTCTTGTTATTCTTGGTGTTAGAAATTTTCAGCAGGTTTAATTCTTTCCTTGTAGAAAGGTGGTAAAAATGCCAGATAGATGCAGTTGGCTGGTTGAGTAATCCTCAAATTTGAAAGTGGATATGTGTCGTTATCATGAGAGAGAGAGAGAGAGAGAGAGAGAGAGAGGAGAGAGAGAGAGAGCATATATCCCAAAACTCCCACTTATGCTAATTTGAATCACAGTAAGTAAAATTTATGAAGTTCTACTTATTTAACCCTTTGTCAAATGGGCTCAGCACCACAATAAAACTCACCGTTTCTTCCAGCTTCCTATTTAAAGTTTTCATCTCCTCAACCATACGACGAACCTCCGACAAAATTGTTTGCTCAGGGATCTTTCTTATGGCTAACTTCCGCTCATTTGCCTGGAGAGAGAGAGAGAGAGAGTCAATCACTTTTAATAAAAGAAATGGGAAAAAGAAACCAGTACTCAAAGTATTAAGGCAAGGAATACCACAGATCATGTGTAAATCCTGTTAACTATAGGTAGTGAATTGGTAAACCCGAATAAGATAAAAGCAACTTGCAAGAGAAATGAAGATACGAATCAAAGTCAGTATCCATTACCAGCTATTTCAAGCTTATCAATGTAAGACATCCAAATATAAGCTACTGCATGCTGCTTTTGCATCTATTGCATGTATTTGAAAGCTCAAAAAGAAAAAAAAATCATTCGTTGCTGAAAGTAATCAAGTTGCCTTTGAATAATTGATGAGACAAACACTTTCTACAATTGCATTCCAACTTCCTCAGAATCATTCAACATGAAAGAGTTGGATTTTCCTAGTTGGTGTACAGAATAGTGTTCCATTTGCTCCTCTATGATTAAAATTCCCCTCATTATGCTGTAACGTTTTCTTACACCAAGACACAGACAGTAGAGAAGGCAACTAGAGAGTTAAAAAAAGGAAGCAGGATCAATGAGTCAAGGGAGTAGTTTATACAATTAAACAAATTCTGATAGAAACATTTTGGGGTGAATTTTTCTTGTCTGTCTCTCACCCCATCCTTCTGATGGCAACATTGAGGACATACAAGCCCTTGGAGAAGTTCTCAGGGTTCGTGAAAGTACTTGAACAAGGCAAGCCTATGATGCGATTCCCATATGAAAGAATGCCTATGCATTTTCACTTTCGTCATTAACCTCTACATTTAAGAGTTCATTCACACCGCTAAGTTAGTCTATCTTATTAAACACTGTCCAGAATAGGAAGCCAAGAACACTCCCTGCCGCGCCAACCCCCTTAAAAGCACTAATAGTAAAGTAATACAAAAAAATGGTGGCACTATTTCAGAAAATAAAGAAGTTTAAATGAAGAAAACCACATCACGCAAGCATTCCCATGATATAACAAGATAACAGCAGGTACATCAAAAATCCGGCATGTCACCATCTACACTTGTCCAACACAGTTTTGAACACGTATGAAATGCATCTGCAATAATTGTCTCAAGAAATGATCACTGTATTGGGTGCATCAAATATAGTACTGATCTAATAAGGACCTATGCTTAAGGCCTAAGGTAAGTTCGTGAATGTCAGCCATTTACAGACGGCTGAGATGCATGTACTTCAACAGAACCTAAGGTTATCATTGGTTGCCAAAACTAAGGTAAATGTTCGATTCATTAGAATGACCCTTAACAAAACAAACCTAAGGCTCATTCCATTATTTGGTTGCCAAAAAAGAAAAATAAAAGATCAGGCAAATGCCCATTCTCCAAAATGATAAAACCAATTCCACTCCCTACCAACTTTCAACTCTTCCTGCTCTATCCTCTCACTCTCTCCACATTCCATTCTTATTTTAAGCGATCATCAACAATACTAAAAACAGAAGCGAACAATACGAACTTTAACTAAAATTTGCATAAAGATTAACATCGTCATTCATCTCAGGCTAACACTGTGTCCATCATTTCATGCCACTATTGAACAAAAACTGCATTTCTCCAAAAGCACCTAACTTTTGACTAACAAGAGCAACAAAATATTAAAACGATGAACTTTAAAAAGAGAAATAGGAAAAAGAAAAGGCTAACCTCTTTCAGACGCTTTTCAACCTCCAACCGAAACGATCGGATTCTCCGTTCTTCGTAGCCCGAAAGAACCCTCGCATAGAATAGAGCTTTCCTTCCAAATTCAATCAGCTTGTTCATTCTTTCTCACTTTCTCATCCACCTTGAAACGCTTCGATTTCAGCTAAACCGCTCCGTTTTCTACCAAATCAGATTAGAGTATTCTCAGCAGCCAAACGAGGATAAATTGAGAATTAGAAAAGTACTTTTCGGATCAGAGAAAACACAAAAACAGGCTTGGAAATTCAATTGGACAACTAGAACCTAAAACCCTGGAATTCCGATCCCTAAGAAGTAAGGAGTGTGTGCGAGAGTGAGTGTGGCGTGAAGTTTTCTTACCTCTACACGCGGGAACAATCAACACTGGCTTGCTTCGATGGAAATGTTGGCTGCTTGGGCCGGTTGGGGCTGGGATTGACAGTGAACCGAGTGGGGCTTTGTTTGGCCGGCTATGGAAAGATGTTCTGCTGTGGGTTATAACAAATCTTAGCGTTATGCAGATCGGGGTTGCGTAGACTTTTATATCCAAACAATTCCTTTTTATTTTTGGGAGTTTTCATTTTAAGAAACTATATAGATTGGTCATATTTTGAAGGCAAAACTTGTTCTTATTATAGGTTGTTTTTACAAAATTATTCATTAGTTTACTAATCTATTAAGTTTATTTAATAATTATTCTCACTTTTACTTTTATTAACCAATGGTAATTAACAAAAGATCCATTAATATAATAGTTTTGAGCAATTACTCTCTCGAGTAACATCCTAAGTTTGAGTCTTAACAATTCTCTTAATAGGAGAAGTCTTCAAAAAAACAAAAACTAATGGTAGTTTGTGAAATTTTGTAAGTTCTAATATTTAATAATTAACTACAAGTATATTCCCTCCATTTATATTGAAGATTATTTTACTAAGCTGTATTTTTTTGTCAGAATTTTATTGAGCTGTATATTACCATACCATTTGGTAAATAAGTTCCTAATCCCGTTGCATGAATTTCTTCTCCGGAAATGGGAGATAGCAAAAGTAAAAATAGGAAAAGAAAAACATGAAAATGTCATCCAAATTCCAAAACATGTTTTCAAAGTAACATATCAACAAGAACTAGACAACACTATCAGTCCTACTACCACCTCCCACAAAAGAGTAGGGGAATATATCTCAAAACAGTTTGTTTTAAAGGTCAAATATGGAAAACTCTATAGACAAAGTGACTTGATTTTTTTTGCATTGCATTCATTGCGTAGTTACTGGAGGAGAAGATGGATCAACCCTTTTCATCATTGGCCTGCAAATGCTCAATCCCTCCTCTTCTTCTTCTTCTCATTCTTCTCAAGTGAGTTCTTCAACTGCATAAAACAAAGAAAATTTAGCATCTCAGAAGCAACAGTCTAGGCTATATATGATTACGAACAAGTCTGGTCTAATTTATGATTACGAACAACAAGTCTAGTCTAATAAAGCACTTAGGAAAACTTACCATGATGATGAGTACGCGCACAAAAACAGCAATGAAGTCACTGAAAAGGGTCATGGCATGCTTCACATAGTCCAGGTCACCATTGTGTGCCTTCTCAATCATTTCTTGCGTGTCAACTACCATATACCCCACGAAAATCAGAAGTCCGAAGTACAACTGCAATTCAATGAAACACAACAGCCTAAGTTAAAATGCAAATAGCTCCCCTCATTTCAGCTTTAACCAACCAGAGTAAAAGATGACATTGCCATTTTGTTCCTATTACTAACTGATAAATAATTCCTCACCTCAAACTTATACATAGCTGCTGAACCCCCAAAGATAGAAGAAGCAAATTGCAACCAGAGTAGCATGGACAGTCCAGAAGAAACCAAGCCCCCCAGGTAAAGGTATTCTCTGCGCTTTGCCAACATGGCTGCTGCTGAGAAACAACCAAAGGCCAGAGCAGTTCCCCCAAATGCACTGATCAGGACACTGGCCCAAAGGGAGAAAAAAAAAGAAAAAAGGAGTCAGCATGCTGTTCAAGTCTAATTGGCTAAACAGAGAACACAACGCATCCCCTAGAGGGGAAAAGGAAGCAGTTATGAAACCCAAACATTTTATTGCAAATCACTTAAGGTATTTAAATACATATACTGCACATGACGGGAAAAGAAGGAACTGCGGCAGTTGAAAGAGACCTAAGTTCCATAATTTATCGTGTAGTCTCATGTTTACTGAACTTGAAAGCTAACACTTAATGACAGGAATATGTACCTTGGATTAATCGCAATGGCCAGATCAATCAAAGGACCAAGAGTAGCTCCCTCAAGGAGACCAGCAGCCATAAGTAGAGAAACCCTCTTTTTCTGCTCAACAAAAACACAACAATTCAATACAGGAAAATACATTACAACAGCTGGGACAACACAACATACATATGGGTGCATAATCTAAAGAATGATCTTTCAATAAACTCTACCTCTTCATAATGAGGGGTGGCGAGTACCCAGATCATACATCCTAAGCAGCCAAGTAAAGTTACAATGCCTCCAATGTTCCATAGGATATGCAGGTAAGCTCCAACAGCTGAAGCGATGAGAGTACAGCATAAGGTGAGGTAGACCTGCAAAATTAAGAAATTAAACAGTAAATCAATCGCCACAGAACCAGGAAATCACATGAGCCAACCCACGACTACATCAATCGAGGTTCAACCAAGATTAAGCAAAAACCTAACAAGAACAAACCACTCAACCAGAAAATTCAGCAAAGAAAGTTAAATTAAGAAAAAAGATATAGAAATTCACACTTCTTACTCTGTTATCCGAGTAGCCAATGAAATCAAAAAAGCCAAGAAAAGAGAGACGGGAGATAGAAACAAGAAAGACGAGAGAGAGGTGTTCTTTCTGATTTATCGTCCACCTCCTCCATCTCTTCTCCTTAATTTTTTCCATTCCCCTCTTTCTTTAAATTAAAAAGGAAAAAATTACAAACAGACTATGACAACATTCACTAATTGCAACAACACCACAACAGCATATGAATCTTCTCTTCCTTTCTTTTGATTTTCTTTTTTTTAAACATCAAAATTCTCGGTAACCAAACAAATGAAAATCCACTGAGAGTTTTAAGATACAGAGAATTGAACATAAACGAAGCCCTAAATATCAAAACCAATACATCCAGCACGATTTTTTTGGCAAAAAAATTATCAGCAAGAAAAACGAAACGAAGGCGGACAAAAACCCGAGCAACTCTCACACCTTGCGAAATACGTTAATTACTCGGTCTAATACACAAAACGGGCAAGAAAATGATCAAAATGAACAAGATCATAAGCAAATTCTCTCTTCTTCCTAAATTTTCCCGGTAGCCAAACAAAGCCTAAAACGAGAGTACAATTCACTTCCGAGGAATAGTGTTCGCGAAATACGTAAGTTGCCGAGTATAATACACAAAACAGAATGATCAAAATGAACAAAACCAGAATCAAATTCTCTCTTCTTCCTAAATTTTCCGGCTAACCAAACAAGCCTAAAACAAGAGTAAAATTCACTTCCGAGAAAAAATGTTCGCGAAATACGTAAATTGCCGAGTATAATACACAAAACAGACAAGAAAATGATCAAAATTAACAAAATCTTGATAAAATTCTCTCTTCATCCTAAATTTTCCCGGTAACCAAACAAAGCCTAAAACGAGAGTGAAATTCACTTCCGAGAACGAGCGTTTACCAGCTTGAGATGATTCTGAACAACAGGAGAGATCTGACGGAAGTTCTTGAGAGACTCGAAGTTCCATCGGTTTCTTGAAGACGTTTGGGAATCGAAGAACGATGTGAACGCGTCCATATTGCTTCGTTACAAGAAAATGCGATAGAAATTGCTGAGAAAGTGAAAACTGAAAAGGGGTTGTGAGGTGGGATCTGGAATTTATAGGGGCCGAAGGTCTTCGGTTTCGTGGAAACTTCTAGCTATTTTATGATTCTTTTTTTGGGGTCAATAAGCCGCTTTATGATTTTATTACTGAAATGAGACTAATTAATGGAGAATGGACTCATTTACCTTTTTGCCCTTGTGGTATTTGTGATGAGATCCAGAAACTTTTGCCCCGGAGTCGGATCCGAAAACTTGGCGACTCTTTGCAATGTAGTTTTTTTTCCTTAATTTTAATTTTAACTTTAAAATAAAGAATTAAAGAGATATTAATTTGTGTTTAATTTTCAATCCATATACTTAGATACGAGGCAGTATAAGAGAGAACTTTATTGATCAATAACTGATAAAACAAAAGTGTGACTTAAAGCCTGACTCCTATTACAAACATTGAAAAAAAGTACATCATATATAATGTCTGGTGATTCCTCAAACCACTCTACTCTATACTTGATACGATTTATAATAATAGTTTATTTGTATTAGTATTACTTACAAAATTTGAGCTTTAAATGATGTAGCATGTGCACGTCATGAATATTTAATAAATTAATTTTTAATTTGAATTATAATTTTATTTATTTATTTTAGGAGAAAAAATAAAATAAAAAACTTTGCAGCTTTAGTTTCCATAAAATAAAAACCTCGCAACTAGCCCTAAACTATCAAACTTGTCGCCATCCAACCATATTTTTTTAATAACATTATGTATTTACGTTAATGATCATTACTATGCATATATCAAAATGTGTCAATAACACTTCATCCAAGCACCATATAACAATTTTTTTCTTATAAAAACATAAAATAATATCATGTTAACATCTCCTTAATTTTGGCATTTTCCTAACGTTTGATTACATTATATTATATAAAATTTGTGTTCTTGTATCACTTGGAGAAATGGAATAAAGTATATACTTTTCTTTTTTTTCAAGTAATAAAGATGGGGAATTTTAAGGAGGCCAGTAAAATGTTGTATTTTAATATTTTCGAAAAGATCATTTAGGATAGTGACAAGAACCATGAGTTTGGGTTTTCGGGTCAGGCCAAAATCCAGATGAATGCCATCTTAGCAATTACATGCCTCATATAGGGGCATTTAGGGAAATAAGAACAGATGGTTCTGGAGGGTTCTCGTTTGGCGGTGACTGATTTTTAGGCAACTTGAATTGAGATCGCTTTCTCACTAAGCAAAATTATCAAACAAATGTAACGAAAAAAAAAAAATATATATCAAACAAACAATTGGAAAATTCTACTGTAATCCAAAAGCCTCCGTGAAATGGCACACAAGCTGACACGTCCTCTGGCCAATTAAACCTTGCCACATCAGCAACTTGACATGGTTTGCTCTCATTTGTCCAAGTTCATGTTCAATTTCGTTTGTTTTTTAAATTTTTATTTTCTTTACCAAAAAACAACATATATAGCCCCCCCACAAAAACCCCAAACAAAAAAAAAAAAAAAAAAAAAAAAAAAAAAGAAAAAGAAAAGAAGAAGTAAACTCTGCCTCTTCTAAAACAAAGTGACGATGTTTGACGTCTCAAAAATTCCGTTAGTTGTTGACATGGCTCTTATATGGCCAAAAAAATAGGAGTTACCTAATCGATTTTGTCAATTTCGTTAAAATTGTTGACAAGGCTCTTACGTGGCAAAAAAAATTAGAGGAGTTACGAAGGATTACACAAGCGATTTTGACAAAGTTATTGACGGACTTAATAATGGGGATCAAAGTTATGATAAAAAACTATATGAAGGAAACAAAGCGGATTACAACTTTCGGAGGACAAAGTAAGAAACATGTTATGAAACTAGTATAATTAATTCTTGTTTTCTTATGGAACTCTGACCCCAAATTCCCCTTATTTAGGAAAAAAAAAAAGATTTCAACCTAAAATATTAATATTAAAACTTAAAAATTTTTAAAAAAAGAGATGAGATATTTAGTCATATACCAATTCTTAGCACTAATAATAACATAGATAAACCCTATTGAGCGTTTTAGGCATTTTTTATGAGGTTTTAGGGTTGGGTTTGTTTCAAGAAATTAATGCAATTTTGTAATTTAAAAGAAGTTAATTTAATAGGGCCATTTTATGTCGTTAAATGAGCTTTAAAGTGTGTTTCTAAAGTTCATTTTATTTAGGGTTTTATTTATAAATAATATATTGGATATAATCTAAAAAAAAAAAAACAATAATTCTCTATGAATATCAATAGAGAGAAGAAAAAAAAACAAAACCTAAATGTACATAATTTTCTGATTTTTATATGATAGAATCCAAATGGGTATGTTTTAGAAGGTTACAAAGAATAAAGTAAAAGTGCACCAGACAACAAGGCTGCAACTATACAACATTTTTAATCAGTGCAAATTAACAAAGACAGTAGGAGCTGGAGATTATGGTACAACTTTGTCTAAAAGGCTAAAACCCTAATGAGATTTATTAGCCCTAATGATGTTTTGTCCATGTGAAAGAGGAACCTTTTCTTGAGTTCCAAGTTATAACACCTGCCTCTGGAGCCTTTGCTTTCTCAGCACTTCATGGCATGGGGCAAAAAATTCATGTCTAAGGGCTTCCTCCGCACTTATCCTAACCCTAGGGTTCACTGTCAAGCAATTATCCACTAGATCGAAAAGGGGTCTAGGGATTTCCTTAAAGAAGTCTGGTCTCTTTGTGCTCCTTCTACACCAATCCTGTAGTTTAATAGATGGCAAAGACTCTGTACTATAGAGGTCCTGTGACAAAATAATACCTCACAATTCAATCTATGTGCATATTAAAATATCATGGCCAAATTGCACGAATCATTCGCGTGGTGTGGGTCATATGTCAATGTTATTCTTGTGGTGGAAATTTTTCAATAATATTCTTAAGGTTGAGCCCGTTACCAGTCTCAGTCCAATTCAAAATTTCCGTCCAATTGTGCGTATTTTACCTCAAATGCTTGGGTTAAAAAGTCCTTTCAAGAAATGGACACCCATTTTTTTACCCTTAAGTCAAGCTTGAAACGACCTTTTTATCCTTACACGCGACAGGCACATCGGTAAAATTAGACGGATATTTCGATTTGGACCTTGGTAACAAGTTTAAGCACAAGGATATTATTCAAAGTTTTCTCATCACATGAGTAACATTGAAGTGGACCTACACAAGGATGATTCGTGCAATTTAGCCAAATATCATTTACTAGATCAAAGTTATGGAATGATCAATACCACTGGAAATGAAGATTCACGGTCGTGTAGCTTGGCAACTTCCCATAATTCTTCACTGCCCCTCAACTTTGCTATGTCCTTAATGTTCCTGATAATGACCATATGGTTGGCAAGACGAAATGTGAGAATAAAGAATCTGAAGAGTAAACATAAACCTTTTGGATCAAAGCAAGGATATTTACTGTTCAGGATCTCCAAAAAAGGGTGTTCTGCCAATTATTAAGTAGAGTAATGTGACCCCAGCAGACCAGATATCAACCTTGGGGCCTTGATGTGGGGATCTCAAGAGAACCTGCATAGACCACACATCCAAACAAAGGATCATGACCAAATATAAAAATACGAGTCAAGAAACGAAGAACATAATACATGCTATAATGTTAGGAGTGAACTTAAAAGACTATTTTCTGTGCTTGGCTGCAACAATCTTCAGAAAGTTTTAACTTTGAGTTACATGAATAATGATATTTTGCAAGCAACAAACTGCATCTCTCTTTAATCCTCAGATTCTCACCATTAATGGCTGTCACACTCACAAGTGATGGTTGGTTATTACTTGGCGAATCAGTATAACTCCGATCATACAGGAATTTGAAACAACTTTATGGAGTGTAAACCAGCATCAAATTGAGATATAGGGATTAAAAGTAAGATAATTATATAAAACTAAAAGTTAACAATAGTTATGAATCCTCACCTCTGGAGCCCGGAAGCCTTTAGTTCCAGCACAAGGACCTTCTTTCTTCTGCTTTCCACCCCCTAAATAAAAAATAAAAAATAAAAAATAAAAAATAAATATAAAGAAAGAAAAAAATCATGGCAAACACAAGTAAAGAAATTTGCTAGTCAAACCACATTGTCCAAATCACAAGAAGGAACAAACCTCTGTTTCTAATCAAGCCTGCACCACCTATATCATTGCCAGTTGAGTGCAGAGGCATAGGAGTGATATAGAAAAGCTTGCCATCCTCATTTCCAGGAGGGGCAGGAACCCTCTTTCTCATAGGAGCTGAAACACCTGATGCTTCATGATTTGGACTCTGCCTTGCTTCCTGTACTAGGCTGATGAGCTCTTTCCTTCCTTGGCATGGCAAAGGTTCCCTCAGCCTTTCGGCTGGAGGAGTCCTGGCACTTGTCACATCCTTTGCTGATGTTATGCCTGAGCCATCTGCACCTTGACTTTTCATAACACTCCAACTACCTGAATCATTATAGGCCTTCATTTGACTGAAAGCCTTCTTTTTCAAGTCCTTCGGATCAAAAGTGGGTTTGAGACCTTTTTTGGTCTCTCCATTGGCCTTTATTGAAGATTTAACAGTTGACATCCTAACCGTGGTTCGAGGAATAGATTTCACATTGGTAAGTTTCTCATCAAGGCTGTTTACATCATATCCACCTTTTGATTTGCCTGTGAAATATTGGTTTCGTCATTTCCCAATCTTTTTATTTCATAATAGTAAGACCAAAAAATTCAGACAAAGCCATTTAGCATTTATAGGCAGAAACTATTATTATTGTTGTTTAATTTAAAAAAAAATATTTTTTAATTCTCCAAGTATATTGGTCTGCAATGAGAGAGGGTTTGAACAAAGAAAGTTTACTGAAAAAGAAAATTGTACCTAGGCGAGCAATAGATTGAACTAAAATATCATGCAATACTTATTAGCACTAATCAGTATCACAACAAAACCAA